GGGGAATAAAACAAAAAAAATCACATGGAGGTTGTGAGATGAATAATTAGTTTTTTTAGTTTTATTCCCCATAGCAACGGAGCTATGTTAGAATTTTAGTATATCAAAACTGGCCTATTGATCATAATCTTTTCTAATTTACACCTACCATAATCATTAATAGTAACAGACAAGGTTGCATTTGGTCCAAGTTTGATCGTTGCAGCTTTGACGTGGAACTGATAGGTGGCCCCACCTAACACATCTACTGTGTAACTTAACATGTTTCCTCCTAAGGTTTCAGTGTTAATGTTATGAGGATCTTCATCGTGACTATAAAACACAGTGTAACTCTTGATAATTCCATTTTCTTCTGCTGGCTTATGCCAGGTGAGCTTTAACTTTGGACCAACTTGTTTATCTGGTTTTATCTCAGAGGGAGAAAGATTTGAAGGAATACTTGGTGCTAAAGTAGTAAAGAAATGGAAGATGAAGGTTATTATTTAAACTGTACTGAAATAAACTTGATCTTTCACAGAAAAAAATGCACAAATTAGATGATGCACTTTTACCTGTTCACTTAAACTGTAGAGGGCAGTTAACTCTTAATAATTATAATTAATAGCTTAACTCTGACAATATCATGCATAATATCAATACAATAAGCCTGGCAAGATGTACACATGAAGTATGTTCCAGTCTCATGAAAAAAAGCTATGTGTTTTTTTGGAAAAAAGGTTTGTTACAACCTACACTATTTAGTTTTAGCCTTCTTACCATCTTCCAGTGTCTGCCCAACCAATACAGAACTTTTTGGTCCCTCACCATGATATCCCATGGCCAACACTTGAAATTCATATTTGGTATACTTGTTAAGATTAGCAAAATCTTTAGTTAAAATTCCTGCTTCAATAACAGACTCCATGACTGAATTGTTTGCTGAGCCCTTCTGTCTGTAAAACACCCTATAACCTATTATTGTTCCATGTCTGGCATATTCTGGCAGTGATGCCCACGATGCTCTTATACTAGTGGAGGACGTAGCAGTCACAGTGAAGTTGCCTTGAGCTTGTGATGGAACTGGAGTGTTGAATAAAATGATTCTAAGGTATTTTAATTATACAGTTTCACAATGGTCATGCGCCTATAAAGGAACTGAATTGATTAACAAAGATGAAAGTTGTTAATAATGATGAAGTGTTATTTCTGTAGTATCACAGTGGTTGTGTCCTCCCTAAAAGTTTGGAAGTCAGAATCTCAAGCTCTTTCAAGTCTGACATGAAGTGAACCTCAGTGACTATATGAATCCCTGATGGATTAAATGAGTGCCATTAAAGATGTGACTAAATGCTAGTCTGATTTCCTTAAATTAAGGAATAACTTATAAATTTGATTATATACAGAGAACTTACACATATATTACTCAAATATACACCAGTTATGCAATGCTGAGTGGTATATCATGGAATATCCCACAAGTCACTTGTTTTTTGTCATTACCTGAACATTAATGTTGAGGGAAGAATTTGGTTCTGACATGTCACAAACAGCACTTGAACATGCTTGATTTTGGCAGGAATAAGATCACAGCACACAATAAGAGGAGTGGGTGCAATACCATCAAATATACATTGAATTCCTGAATTCCATCTGATTGGCCATATTTTCTGTGGCATGATATCAGTAGGCTATGTGATTATATATAACATTTTTAAGTAAGGTAAGTCATAATATTCCCCTCCACTTTTTGCAACACTTGTAGGATTTCAATGATATGGCACAGAGAAAATAGAATCAGTACCTGTAGATAAGAGAACTCCATAAACTTCCACTCTCAATGCCTTATATTTATTATATTCTATTGGCACAAAACGGATGAACCTTGCCAAAGCATACTCCCTCAGACCATGCTTTACTATGTCATTTCTCCCAGAGTTTCCATTGAAGACCTAAAATATCAAAAGATTACACAAAACTAATAAATTATGCTGTTTGCAAAAGCAAGTCAACAATAACAGACACTGACAAGTTTATTCACTTCACACGAAAATTTGAACATTTTGTGCACCAGTGACAACAGTTTTCCTTGGCTTTGAATTATCAACAAGCCTACATCCAACCAATAAAAATTGTAGGTAACACCATCACAGAAACACTGATGAAAGAGGATAATCTACAGCTGTAATTCTAGCAGAAACAGTTTTAAATCATTTGATCAAGCGAAATGAGTCACTTCATATCAAACTGTAAGCCACGTCAACATTCAATGTTAGTAGGTTATCGTATACTGGTCTACATTACGCCCTCAAAAATAAGCATTTCAAAGCCTGAAAGACCTGACCTATGAAGCTCATTTCAGTTCTTTCATTCATTTCCACCAACACTTAACCTGGTAATAAAACTGATTCGAATTTACACATACCAAAATGCTCTTACATAATTATCCATTATTCTTCTGTTTTACATAAAATTAGATTCAACTAAGTGTATTTCTATGTAACTACAAGAAAATAATATATGAAAAAATTCAACCAAGTTA